ATATACATATCTATGTATGTATACACATGCATGTGCTGATATTTGCATATTTACATATGTACACATTTGCATGTTCAAATGTTTGCATTTAGACATAGATGCATACACAGAAACATATACACAGAATCGTATGCGCACACGCATATATGTGAGATTTTATATCTATGTATATATACAAATATGATTTTCACCGCCTCCCCCCCGCCTCAATCCTCTTCCGGAACCGTGTTTGAGGTTGGGAAGTTACGCGGTGTAGTGTCCAGTGCGTCCAGTGCGTCCGTCCAAGAGCTCAAGATTGAGAGCTTAAGGATAGGTCAAAGCGATGAGGGCCTGAAAACGGTTGTTTTGGGTTTTAGGGCTTAGCATAGGGGATATGCAACGTTTGTACACATGCAGCTAAAGATACTTGTGCAAAACCGTGTAGGTAGTGTATGCAAGGGTGAATGGGTAGCAAGGCAAGTGGGCAACAAGACTAATGAAATCTTTGCCTCACCAGGACGCTCTTCAGGGCATTTGGCACATGCTACAATCTGAAGAGGCCTTTCTCCGACTGGTACTTCCGCTTGCATTCTGTCGCACAGCACTTGGCGAAAGTAGTGCAGGTGCGATTTTGCGAGGCCTTGGCGAACTGGCTCGCCTTCGGCTCCCATCTTCGAGGGGACCACTGCGATTTCCCTGCAACAAAGAGAAGACGCTGCAGGCAAACATCAAGAAGCTCAGACGAGGCTTCTTGCATGTCTCCGCTACTACAGTGGCATGTGCCCAGGGAAAGTCCAGTCCGTCATGGCATATTTGCACAGTCTTTTTGTTGTTGTCTCGTGCCTTGTGCGTTGCCTTGCCACAATGGCCTTCTCTGTTGCTTTCGGCGAAACAGTGACACGCGCATCTGAAATTGATAACTACTATACTATATGTTTCGGTGCTACTGACTCCGTTCTACGTCCCTCACTGGTTTCCTCAAATGTTTCAAGGGCATGTCATGGCATCCTCGTTTACAAGGCCTTCTTCCCCAGTGGGTTTGGACCTTTCAGCGCAGCCTCGTGGCCAAGCGGCCCAACCTCCTTCAACTTGCACTTTGCTGTACGATGGTCTGCACCGCCCGATGTGGATCCCGGCTTGCGCCACCCGTCGTCATGCCCGTGCCCTTGCGGGGTCGTCTGCTCCGACCTGCTGGATTTTTTCCGTATGCAGCGAGGCGGAATCCACAATGGAAACTGTTGCGGACTTGCCATGACTCTTGTGCTTGCGCTTTTTGTTCGTTCTTTCCAAAAGGCGAGAAAGGGATGGTGCCTGTGAGATGCAGGTCTGCAAATCCAGCGCTTCGCATGATGCGCATGGAGAAACTGCAGAACAGACAATCGTAGGCCAGACAACGGCTTGAGTGATGCCTGAAAATATGCTTGCGGCTTACAATCAGCACTGACACGGAAACCAGGCGCGCAGGGCTTTATGGCAACGAAACCGAGTATGTAGTTATCATCTCATTCCCCTAGCGCGCTCCACGACCCGGATCCCAGTAAACGGCTACAGAAGTTGCGAAGCGACGAGGCAAGACGAGTTGCAGTTACAAGTTACAAGCATTACTAGGACTATCCGTGACCTCGGCCACCTGCCGCAGGGATCAGCTCTGGTCGACAAGTTGTTGTTCGCGTCCTGCAGCCAAATCATGGCTCGGCTTGGAGCCCGAAGGGCCCACTCGTCGTCGTATGTGTCTCGGGTTCTTTGGCCATGCTTTCTTTGGGCGAAGTCGTCGTCGCCCGGCATTGCCCGTGCTCCATCGACGTCCTCTGGTGGATAGTCAGCACCACAGCTCTGAAAGAACCTAAGTACGGACCTATGGCCCAGACGGTGTGCTCCGTATTGTTGTGCCCGCACGGCGTTCTCAGTTGCGGTTCGAGCGAATCGGTGCATGGGCAAGCATGGGAGACGGGATCCTTTCTGGTGATCACATGGGCGGGTTTCCCGGATCGGTCGGGTCTAGGGAAATAGATGACAGCATACAAAGCAGTGGAGTTCGCTCTCTCTCTCTCTCTCTTTCTACTTTTTCTTCATCCCTCTCTCTCTCTCTCTGCAAGTCCTCATGGGGGTGGGGGTGGGGGTCGGGTGAGACAAACATGCCATACAAACTGCACGAGACTTTGGCTGTTCGTCGGAGAACCTGGAGCTTTGTGTTTTCAGAGTTCGCAACTGCCTTCCATGGTCAGGATGGCAGCGTGCTGGTTCACTTTCCGACGCACTCTGATATTGATCTCAAACTTGTGCTGGGAGCAATGCTGTGCTTGGACAGCAATGATGTGCAGCGCAGTAATTAAGGTATGCTTGGTTCAAGGAAGCTGCCAGCTGCGCAGCCTACCGATCGTCAAGGCCTGTCAATGGAAGTCCGTCAACGTGCCGCACGTTACAGCTGAGCGACGGCAGTGACGGAATGTCGAGGCAGTCATTCCACTCAGTCCAGCCCTTTGTGCATTGGTCTCGCAAGTGCCATCCTCAAGATTCATTTCGGTCAGCTGCTTTTGCCGTTTTGAGTTTGCGCATCGCATAGTTGGCATAGGCGCAAGGTTGCACAGTCTTGTCAAGTCCTTGCAGGCAGAGGCTCGCTTTCCTGAGCGAGATGAAGCCTGTAGATGAGCGCGGAACCCATTTGACTTGTCGTTTCTAAAATGATACATCTCCCCTGGAATGTGAGGGGCTGTGAGGGGCTGTGAGGGGCTGTGAGGGGCTGTGAGGGGCTGTGAGGGGCTGTGAGGGGCTGTTTCTTTTGTGTTATACAGGGTCGGGAGATGCACTCGGCGAATTGCAGCATTGTCAGGCCTGTGTTTCAGTTCTGCAATTCATGTTTGTATTGTGCCTGTGCTTCTGGTCATTGATTCTTCTTTTGCATGGCTTCTGCTTCTTGCTTTCCGCCCGTGTGTACGTTGCGTTTGAGCCATCTGCTTTTAGTTTCCTGCTCTTTGTGGTAATATCAATCCGTTCAAAGGCCACATGAGTCCTTTCACAACACACATCATGTGATCAGAGTTTTTGAAATTGTGGCGGGGCCAACTATGCCCTCCCCCCTTCCCCGCCCTTTGCATAACCAGCACATGCCTGCCTGCTTGCTTTAGATTAGCAAACTTCTACGCATTACGTTTTATATTGCGCATGCGCTCTCTTACGATGTTTGAAGCTGTCAACATGCAGAACCGCGGCAATTCGCAGCCAGTTAAAAGCGAACACTGCGACCGCAGCGTTCGAAGCTGTCCCCTTGCAACTCTGAAATACGCCGCATCCGAGCTTCCAGAGAACGACTGTAATTAATTCGCAACATGTGAAGCTATGAAATGCTGCAAATTCTCGGAAGTATGAATCTTTATTTCTTCATTCGAAGCCATCCAAGGCTCGGTAGTCACCCTTGCACCCCCCTCCTCTTCACCCCCCACCTCTCCACCCCCCACCTCCCCACCCCCACCCCCTCACCCCCAGAAATGAAGCCACTGAATCGATCCTTGCTTGGATCCTCCCCAAATTACTGCTAACTCAACATGCAGAGGTAGTATACGCAGATGATGATACACTAAATGTGTGGCACGCACACTCATCCCATCTTCTACATGCAATGCGGCGACATGTTTGAGCTTGGAAATAAAGGGTCGTTGGGTCGATAGTGGATCTAGACAAGGTCAAAGCTTTTCAGATGAAAGCTTTACAGCGCAGCTTGAAAATTTCGCCCACGCTTATTGATCGGACATATATGATCCAAAAAGTCGTAGGCACACCCACAACGGCGGACAAAGGAATAACAATTGCCGGGCCTTTTGAAGAGTAGAACGCCAAGCTCCTATGCGAAGTATGCGAACAAGTCGTAGTTGAACTGCATTCCGACATACCTAGACTTTAGCTAGCCTAGACGTCCTGGCAAACCAAGAGCATCACGGCTACAGGAATCTTTTAAAGACGCATTCTTACACTTGGCAGAGAAAACCTTTTGATGATGCTTTCAAGACAATCGACAATACGTCATTAATCCCCCCCCCGCCCCAAACAAGGAGATGTTTGCTAGTGGAGCCGAACTTGACAAGACAGACTGCCATCGATTGCCCATCATCGAATGCCCTCACCGAATTCTCCGCTGCCGAATGCTCATCACCGAGTATGTTTACTTCACCCAGGCAGCTAAGGTCCTGGTTCCGGGGCTGAAGCTCTTAAGACTGCATTTGGCTGCACAGATGCAACAAGTCCTCAAAATATGACAAGCTCACATACATGACTCATACTTCCCACTTGTACTATGGTTGACAACTAACCCTGGCAGGTCATCTTTACAGTTCTTTTCCCTAGATAGCTCGCCCTCACTGACATACGCACCGCTCATATTTACTTTTCCGAAGATAAGTTGGATTCCGTGCTCAGATTCTCCGGTCTCCTCGTAACATTAACGGATACCTCGCCACTAGCTGGGCTTCTCTGGGTACGGGCACTCCACGGGGCAAGCCAGCATACTGGGCGGAACCCCGGGCGAGGAGAACGGTGGACTCAAAATCTATCAAGCCCACGCTCAGTGTAGGGAACTGCAGAAGTAATTGCAAAAAGGAGAACAATCAAAATTCGAGATCTCAACACAACATCTCCGCAGCCATTGTATCGTTTTGAACTTCGGATAACCGAGGTTTGAGGTGGAGTTCTCCAACCTTGATGCTTTCACACGGCTAGCAGAGAGCTCCGGCCAACTGCCTTTTGCACGGACCCCAGTCTTGTGGAGACTTGTGTTGTAATCTCTTCACATAAAGTCCATGGCGCTGTGTGCTTCAATCATATGTACCTTGACAGGCGCACTGGCCGATGGCTGCTGTAGAACCTGCGAATGAAGATCCGAATCAGTTCAAAGTTCAAAGTAGCAAAATGAAGGTTGTCTTATGACTTGCGGTTTTCTCTGCTATCGCTTCCTGCCTCAGGCATGAACAGCTGTGTTTTGGAGCATTGGCTACGGAGAGTTGCATGTAGCGTAAGTCGCTGTGTGGGCCATGGCATTCGTGAAGGTGCTCAAGAATGCCGCCTACTTCAAGCGATTCCAGGTTGCACGGCGCCGGCGCAGAGAGGGAAAGACTGACTACCATGCTCGCAGGAGGATGGTGCGCCAGGACAAGAACAAGTTGAACAATCACAAATATCGCCTTGTGGTTCGTGTCACAAACAGGCGATGCATCTGCCAGAGAGGGGATGTCTGGCGGCTACAAGAACTACGCAGCAGCTTACGCGACAGGACTTCTGCTGGCCTGAAGCGGTTCGGCCTGGATGAGAAGTTCAGGGAAAGGAGGGGCTTGATGGTGAGGACTATCACATCGAAGATGAGGAGAGCGATCAGCGCCCTTCATGTGCATTCTGGACGTTAGCTCTCAAGGGTGCAGTCGATGGAGGTCTTCACATCCCGCATAGCACCAAGAACTTCCCTGGATTCAAGGCAGCGGATGAGAAGGGCGGCGAGTCCGAGTACGATGCGGAAGCACACAAGGAGAAGATCTTCGGCAACCATGTCTGGGTCTTAGATTGAACACTGATTCATCCAAGAGTTGCATGGCTGTACATTCTACGTTCTATGCACTGCAACTTGCTATAAGGTGAAGGAGTACATGGAGATGCTACAGGAGGAGGATCCTACGAAGTACGAAGCCCACTTCTCCAAGTACATTGAGAATGGCATCGATGCGGAGAAAATGGAAGACATGTACACAGAGGCGCACGAGAAGATTCGTGAAGATCCCGAGGGTGAGAAAGCCGAGAAGAAAGACATCACATACGAAAAGGATGGGGACACCATGAAGGCCTCTGACGGTACTGAGCACGCGAGAAGCCGCAAGATCACGCTCGAGCAGCGCAGGGAAAAGGTCGCCGCCAAGATCGCCGCCGCCCAGGCCAAGATGATGGAGGAGTGAGGACCGCGAGAGAGCCGAACTGCGTAAAAGGGCAGCTTTCTTGCACAGACGACCAGCATGAGAATTCTCGACCCACTAGAGTCAGTAAACATTCCCTTGTATGTTCTACTATCTGGCGAAGCCAAGCCGTAGCGAAGCTAGATATCCAGCTGCGAGTTCTGCAGTGACAGCTGTTGAAGACATCGGCAAGAGATGTGCATCAGGCGAAAAGCTGCTTGGGACTTCAATTTCATGAAACTTCATTCTGGCTCCCAGGGAAACGTGCGTTCCTCGAGACACATAAGCCAAGACTCGCCATGGCATTCGTGAAGGTGCTCAAGAATGCCGCCTACTTCAAGCGATTCCAGGTTGCGCGGCGCCGGCGCAGAGAGGGAAAGACTGACTACCATGCTCGCAGGAAGATGGTGCGCCAGGACAAGAACAAGTTCAACAATCGCAAATATCGCCTTGTGGTTCGTTTCACAAACAGGCGATGCATCTGCCAGTGCGCTTACGCGACCTTGAGAGGGGATGTGGTGGTTGCAGCAGCTTCTTCCAACGAGCTAGCAGGCTTTGGCATCCCTGCCGGCCACAAGAACTACGCAGCAGCTTACGCGACAGGACTTCTGCTGGCCCGCCGCGTTCTGAAGCGGTTCGGCCTGGATGAGAAGTTCAAGGGAAAGGAGGAGCTTGATGGCGAGGACTATCACATCGAAGATGAGGAGAACGATCAGCGGCCTTTCAAGTGCATTCTGGACGTTGGAATCCGCCGAACTTGCGTGGGCCACCGAATGTGGGGAGCTCTCAAGGGTGCAGTCGATGGAGGTCTTCACATCCCGCATAGCACCAAGAACTTCCCTGGATTCAAGGCAGCGGATGAGAAGGGCGGCGAGTCCGAGTACGATGCGGAAGCACACAAGGAGAAGATCTTCGGCAACCATGTCTGGGTCTTAGATTGAACACTGATTCATCCAAGAGTTGCATGGCTGTACATTCTACGTCTTATGCATTGCAACTTGCTATAAGGTGAAGGAGTACATGGAGATGCTACAGGAGGAGGATCCTACGAAGTACGAAGCCCACTTCTCCAAGTACATTGAGAATGGCATCGATGCGGAGAAAATGGAAGACATGTACACAGAGGCGCACGAGAAGATTCGTGAAGATCCCGAGGGTGAGAAAGCCGAGAAGAAAGACATCACATACGAAAAGGATGGGGACACCATGAAGGCCTCTGACGGTACTGAGCACGCGAGAAGCCGCAAGATCACGCTCGAGCAGCGCAGGGAAAAGGTCGCCGCCAAGATCGCCGCCGCCCAGGCCAAGATGATGGAGGAGTGAGGACCCTGCAGCAGCCATGGTGAATCTGCAATGATCGCACGGAAAGGATCAGTGTTCTTCCATAATCTTCCATATCTGCAGAGACCAGCATTGCATCGTATATTGTTTGTCGCTTTGGCATGCTCTTTTACGTTCTCGCTGCAGCTGTGGCTAATACTGCCTCACATGCTTCATATAGACTTGGCTTCCACCTGCAGCTGCCATGAGCCGCGATTTTCATGCAAGCCAAGAGCTTAAAGAATCCTTAAAAATTGCACTAAAGTTAATAGTCAAAATGTGCTCGTTTGGCTTACGGGCTTTGCCCCGCCTCCCAGGTATCCCCCCGAAATGTTCCGCTCAGCCAAGTTCAAGCTTCCATGAAGATGCAACATCATGCAACGCCTGGAAGCTTGGCACCATGTGAGCTCATGTCGATTGGGGATGAGAGTATCTGGCCAAGCAGGCGGGGCAGGATGGCAAGATCAGCACGTTCTGCACAAATCACTAAGTCGTGACGGTGAATTCATGTCAACCTGCTCCCCGGCAATCGCGCACTCCCCACATTGGAATGCTTTGAAGAACTCTCGTAGTTGCTGTGCTGCCCCTCTTTGGTTTTTGTAAGAGAGTGGTATCCATCGAGGGATGATGGTCCCGCTCTTTTTTGGAGGAAGCGGGCATTGGAGGATGAGGAAATCGTCAGCAAGGCCATCAGCTTTGCAAGTTCGACCATGTCAATTCATGTCAATTCAGAGTTTCTTTGTGTTGTTACCGTCCGTGGTAGCATGAGAGGCAGTGCCACTGGGCGCTACACCAGCGATGCCACGGCTCAGCACAGTCAGGAATTGATGCCCTGAGAGCAAATCAGCGAAGCCTACGTGCAGATGCAACTGATGCTGGTCTAGAGTCTAGAATATTTCTCCGCTACTCAGTGGTTGCCACCTAGAGTGCCGGTGTATCCAGGATGCGGGAAGCTCTGGCCGCTGGGGGCGTCGATGGGGTGCTGCCAGCCTTGACTGCTTCAGCCTCGGTGCCGGTGCTGAGTGCGTGAGGTGAAGACGAGTCGCTTACTTGCAACCGACAAAGGTGAGTGGAGCAGCTCCAGTCATGTGTAGGCAGGTGTTCGGGTCGACAGAACATCCCTCAATTGTGCTAGACGGTCAGCATTGTCCTTGACAGCGACAGGTATTTCTTGCGTTCGGGCTGCTCCAAAGGCAAGCTCTGCCCATTCTCCCATGAGGCAGCTGCTCCTACAGCTTCCTGGTTGTCATGCTGCTGGGGCTATCTCAGACTGTTGACTCGCATCGAACGTCGTTATCTGCAGACCTTTAGAAGATATGCCGGGTAATTATCTGTTAGTGCAGAATCCTGCGAATCCCCCCCCTCCCCGTCACCTACCTACTCTTAATTGAATAAGTAAATGCTTGAATTTTCACCACTTACGGATAGAGTCGGGCTTTCTGATGTGCATCTCTTCAAGTTTCTTGGTTGCGCCTTTTCTGCGTTCATTAGTGTCCCGTTTTCATGATTCAAGAAATTTAGTCAATGTAGTGGTGCTGTACCACGTGATCACAGGTGTACTGGTCTGTCTCCGGCGCTAAGACATCGCAAGTACCAGACTCTGACAACACCATCATGTTATCATGAGTAGGGTCGATTGCATGGATTAAAGGCTTTACATTCGCATCCCTTTGTTCGACAAGTTCACTCATGTTGTTTTTCGAGCGCGGAATCTTGCAGATTAGCTAAGCTAATTAAGGCGCATCAACTATTAGTGTCGCAAGCCGCCTAGCTTAAGCCATTTCGCAATTTTACTGGGCCCTTAGATTGAACAAAAGAAGGTGGTAAGAGACAAGCCTGATTGTTGCGAGTTTAAATGCGATGATTTGATTAATAAAACTTGTCCGGAGCTGAACGCCCGTTTTTGCGAAGTATAGGCTTACATTACATTTTCTCGGGACACGGAATTCCAGGATGCCATGTAAGCAAAGGCCATTTAACTAAAACAAGTGAACTAAGTTGTCAAAGCTGGCTTGCAAACCTGACGAATGTCATTTTCGTGCGAGTGGTTCATGTGGCTTGATTAATGTACTTAGCTTATGTTTTTTGCTTTCTTGTAACGAGTTTATCTAACTTTTGCTGTTTATATCCAAATTTTGGGATTGCCTTCTGAAGCATGTTGCAAGAAAGGCTGTTATTGTCCAGCCGCAGTAAGTACGAAAGGTGTTGCGAAAATTAGTCTGTTTGGATTGAACTTGGTTGTACTAACTAGTGGAGATATTCGGCTTGTATATACTAAGATATGCATGCAGAAAGCTGTATCACACTGATATCGATTGTTTCTACAAGGTAGATACAGAATTTGGTAGGCATGCAGCTTGTATTCTCGCAGCATTGGGGTATTTTTAGCTTAGCATGAGTATGATCAGACGGGTGTGCATTCTGTGTATTCCACAGAATTACTAGGTCAGGGATCCAAGATCCCAGATGTTTTCAGGCAAAAATCCAAGATCCAGGAACCTGGAGGGGCGGATTTCAAAAGGTGTGTTCACTACCGTTTCAACAAAAAAAGCGCAAACAAGGAGTCTCAGTCACAGAAGCGACATGGCAAGCTGAGCATGCCCAGAGGTCACTGACTTAAGACTCTATGTGTTGCTTCACTGCCTTTACAGATTGTCTGGCCATGCTGGGCCTTTTGTCCTAATTTCCATGGCGGTGGTCTCATTTATCAAGATGCTGCGAAAGAAGGCATCTTTCAGACATTTGTGTCTGGAGTCCGTAGGGTGTGCTGTACTTGATTCAATCTGCCCCATTCGATGCAAACTGGCAGAGAAGCAGTTCCAGCTTCTGTGTCGTTACTTAGTTTTCAGTAGTAACGCCCTGTGCAGGTCGGCCTCCAGCCAGCCGTTCCACTGGAGCACAAGCGACCGCCTCAGAGTGTGGACTTCCCTGAAATTCCCGTTTGCTTTTGGCCCAGCTTCTTCATGCATATCAAGGCTGCGAACGCCATGCCGTTTCTTTGAGCTTGGTGCCTGCATGCCACTCCAACATATTCGGAATCCGGTACTGTATCTCGCCTAAGCTGAGCTCTCCACATTGCAGGCGGGGAAGCGCGTGCAAATTCGCGCACGGCAACCAGGACCTGACAGATTTGGCAGTCGTGTGTCCGCTTCCAGTGCTTCCAGTAGCATTGCTTGCGTCGCTCAGGAAATGGATGCCATACAGTCTGTCATGAGAGCCGCCAAGAAGAAGGCGCTGAAGCAATGCAGCAGCCATCAGATCCATCAGCCATGCGTGACGCCGCCAGGCTCAGGGAAGAGGCGACGATGAGCCTGAAGAAGGCAAAAGTGCCTGCTGAATGGAGTCCGGAGGAGAGCTCGATGTAAGTTTCTTCACTTCTTCCGAGGCCCGTCCACACCGGCGACACCGGAAGATCAACTTGTAAGCAAAAGCTTATCCTCAGCAGCCCAACTCAAGTGGTGCGCCTACTGCTTAGTTTTTGTTTGGCTCTCGGCATGACAGGCAAGAGGCTTCCAGAATTTCGACCGCTTTGACGCAGCATCTGCAGGCTTGAGCTGCCTAGTGCCGCAAAAGAGTGAAACCACAGCTGCTGAAGCCAAGCCGCAGCCGAGCTTTCAGATCAGCCTTACCGGCAGACCAGGTAGGTAGGGTTCATTTCTTTTCAGCAGCAATGCCTATAGATCTCGTCTTGCATCAATTGTACAACCCTCACGTAGCCACCCCCATGTACCCGAACCCTGATCCGAGTAGCTTGAGGGTGTGCGGCTGTGCTGATTGACACCCCGTGAATGTAACGGCGGTGTACGAGCATGTGACGCGAGCCGCTGTGATTCTCGCCCTGAAATCGAAATCTTTCGGGTTTCAGACCACCTTTTGCGTTGAACTTTGCATTGAACCTGTACTGAGCAGTCTTCTGGTGAATTGAAGGTGGCACGGCGGTTGAAGCTAGAGGCGCAGACCTCTCCACACCGCCGCGTGACTTGGATGTTTCTTTAAACTCTTGAAAAAGATTGGACCTGGGCAGGCAGCCCCCAGGAGCTGGATCGAAGCTTAGTTGTAGTTTTTGGACTGAGAGGAATGGTCAAGAAAGGGATGAGAGCCTGTCTCAGGAAACATCATGACTCAAGTTGCTCAATGACATGAAATCACGATGTAATTGCTGCGTACTGCCGTTCAGAAGAAACATCATGATTTCATCTCAAGCTTTCTCTGATTCGTAATAAATCGGCCGTTAGTGGAAATGTAATCCTCTCAGAATTGTTGAAACATCTTCTTCGATCACCGATTCGATTTTGATTTGATTCTTTTTGTGGCGTTCGATTACATTGAAGCAACAGCAGTTTGGGCTTTACGTGCCTTCTAGTTGAATCCATACGGACTCGGGCGAGAAGCCTCTTCGATAACATGGCTTAATCGTGTTTGGTGGCGCCCAGGTTGCACTCGGCCTGAGCTTGATAGACTTCCCAACAATACTGTAGGACTCTGCTCAAACTAAAGCACAGCCCTTTTTGAATCTTGTTCCAAGCCTATTCCAGCTCCCATTCAAAAAAGAATGTGTTGGAGCATCTTCATCCCATTGACATCTTAGTTAAACCAGCACGCTTCTGGCCAGGTTTTGTTGGGGCCGGACCTGAGTTGCCTTTCAAGCCCGTCATGTTATCGTGGTGGTCTTTTTCTTTTTCAAGTCCGTCACACCAGCAGGGTGATTTCTCCAAGCCCGGGGGGGTGCGCCCTCCAAGCCATCTTCTTCAGCCCATCTTCTTTCAAAGCCTTGCAGGCTTGCTTTAAACCACATCACGTTATCGGTGACTTGCTTCAAAGCCGACTTGTTCTTTTCCAATCCCAATAATTGTGTTTGCAAATTTGGGGGGTGGGGGGAGGGGGCTGCGCACCCAACGCCCCTGCTGTTTTTCAACCTTGCAGGCTTGCTCTGGACATCATGTTATCGCGCTGACTTGCTTCAAAACCCATCGTATTCTGTTCCAAGTCTGTACTACCAGCGTTGTAGCTGCATTTGTGTTTGCAAATGAAGCTTTGCAAGGCCGCTTAAGCTGTTTTTGATCTAAAGATTGCTCTTCGTCCCGGAAATTCAAGTATTTATTGGTCCCATTTTTGTTGTTGATCCCGTACCGGGGCTTCAAGGTATCCACGAAGCTACCGTGTGCGTTAGTGCGGAAGTCAGCAAATCAACATCAAAGCATGAGCCCTGATCTCGGCACACTTCAGGTGCTCTGTCTCCTTTGGTTAAGGTACGTTAGTCCGCCGAAGACAAAAATCACCCACTAGACGCAGGGATGAATCCAGCAAGCGGCAATGCCCAACTCGACTGCACAATCAGGGCAAGCATGCAATGGCCAAGCAGGCACTGAATAAATCTTATTCAACATTTGGACAGTTCAGCATTGGCAAGTGAAGCGCTTGCTGTTTGCCTAGGATTCGGCGTTTGCAGCGTTTCTTGCGGAGGCGTTGGGCAGAACAATTGCAGAGCTGTTTCGCGTACATTTTCTCATTGAGTGCCTGTCTTCTGGCGAACTATGCCGGACGCGAGGTCGATGAACCTGGTGCTGTCCAGAAGGTGCATTTGGCCCTTTGCTCCTGCCGTGATCCACCGCCGAATTCGAATCATTCTGCACTGCACTTATGTGCACATACCTGCTCGTCACACATCCTGGTCGGCGCACGCAGGCACCCAAAGTTGTCCCACCGCGAGCGAGAGAGGCCGAGACTGTTTGGTTTCTTCATATGACATGATGTCCTGAGCAACGGCATCCACCTTTGATGCTAATTCAAGAAGAATAAGCATCGTTGTCAAGTATGTCCCTGTAGCTTAATTATGACTGACACAGGATCGCGGATTACTTGGCCATAGGTCAGAGCGATAGGCTTAAAACTCGAGCTAGTCACATGTAGTCTACAGTTGAGACACCGGCGACTCGGGGGAGTTGATGGCCTGGTGGTCATTGCGTTTTGATTGCCACTTCTGCTCAAGAATTCTTCGTCCATGTTCGCCCGGCTTTCTGCTTGCATCGGTTCACGTCAAATGTTTTCACCCTTTGCAGAGGCAGTTGGAAGCGAAGGTGGGTGCCTGACTGGCTCAGTCTTGCGTGCTCCCTGCTGAAAGCTTGGCAAAACACCTGCACTGCGGAAGGTGAAGCAGCAGGCAAGCGCGAAAGTGTCAGCGTTTGCGGCCCACCTTGCTATATCTTGTTCTCAAGACCTCTTGCGTCATCAGCCCAACTCACCTTGAGGCTAGCCAGATGCTTCCCACATTTGCCTATCCTGCCAAACCATCATCCACCGCAGGCTTTGGACGTGAGCAGATGTGAGCGGCGAGCTATTTTGATCATCTGTGAGAACTGCAGGTACATCCTGGAGCGCCGTTGATGCTCAGCCTGAAGTCAAGCCGGTTTGGCCGCAGGCAGGAACGACAGGGGAAGGGCGAAGGGCGAAAGATGTGGTGCCTGGTGTGAGGCTCAGAACAGACTTCTGGGAGCGGCTCTACCGAAAAGCCAGGCGCATGACGCAGCTGCTAGAACAGCACAGAAGGCAGTCATGCCGCAATGCCCAGCTCATGACCGGCCGGCATTCATCCTTACTTTCCGTTCTCACCCTGAAATACTCAGGACCTAGGCAACTATATGAGAGAGTCTGTTGAGTTAAGCTGGAGTGCAGCAGGGTAACTTTGCCAGCTTTCTCAACACAAGCCGTAATGGAACAATCCTTTCCTCCACGCTTATCAAGCTGGCCTCGTGGGCATGGATCGCACTCCCACGCGCTTCATGAATGAATTTCATGAATGAATTTCATGAATGAATCTGGACTTGAAACAGCTGCTTGAGTCGGAAATGACATCTTGGCCTGCGGCGAGGCAGTTTCGAGAGCCGTGTCAAGTAGTTCTTCTGCTGGTCTGAAGCTTGGGCTTGCACTTTGTAATCCAGGTTGTATTGTCGGCACAGTCATCTGCATGTCTGCTACCGTAGAAAGTGGACGAGGCCATGGCATAATAGGGTTCACGGTTCACCGAACAGATCCGAATGGTTAAGGAGCTGCCCAAGTGTATGAGATGGCAATTGACTGGGGTAACTTGGGGTGTCAGACGCGCAGACAGGGCCAGTGTGAACCCATGATCAAATTGCACGTCAACACCTTTCTGAAATTCAAGCTGTACAAAAGGTGGCCCTGGCTGCCAAGCGACTGCAAACCAATGTGCTACCAGAAAATCAGTGTCTCACCAAACCTTTCAAAACGAAAGATACGATTTTGTGCCAAAATCGTCGCGAAACGATTTCCACTGACTGTCACGGATGCGTCTCGGACTACTGGTACTATTGTTACACCGGCCTCGACCCCAAGCAGATGGGGAGCAGGGCACGTCCACCGATCCGGCTTTGGTTCTTAAGCGAGAACGGAAAGGCCATAAAACGGGATACATACAAGTGGGGAATAAGAGAGTGAAGAAGGGGGTGAGTCCACCGATCCGGCTCTGGAAGGAATAGAACAAGGGAGACAAGAAGGGCGCAGCCAGAAGGCACAGGAGGGGAGACAAGGAGTGGGTGCGTGCGCGGATCCGGATACCCAAAGCGAGAACTGATGGAAACAACAGGAGACGTGGCTACCGACCGGGCTCTGGCTCTAAAGGCGAGGCCGACAGACATGAGAAGCGTGCGCATTCACCGATGCCAAAGGGAGAAAAACCGGGAGACAAAGGGGGGCGGGGGCACGTTTACTGATATTGTTTGGCTCCAAAGGAAAAGGAAGCCGAAAACAAGAGTGGAGACAAGAAGGGGTGCCACTGACGAATTACAGCTCTGACAAAAAGGACTCTGGTTATGGAAGGGAGATGGATACAAGGGATAGCCCAGGGTTGCTGCTAGCTGGCAAGATTGCCAAGTTGTCTTTCAAGTCGCTTGCACAAGTGACACGAGTCAAAAGGGTTCATATTTAGGATGCGTAATTGTTACACAATTGGCCAACATGCTGCCTCATGTTTTCAAGTACTTTTCAGGTTGGGAAGCGTATGTGTAGCAGATGTGATTTCTCTATCAGATGAGCTTTGTTTTCAAGCCAGCTACTGTTTGGCGGGGGGATCCTTATCTTGCGTGGTAGGTGGCTGCGCCATGGCGCGTGGTAAACAGGTTGGAAACATGCAGCCGCATATTATGTATACATATTCTGTATATATATATATGTATACACGGAGCTGCGTCTTTGGGCCAAGGTTTCACAACACCAGGCCATCATCTTGGAGAGTCAATGCTGCTGCAGAGCTTGCAAATCTGTGTAAACCAGACCTGAAGCATTGCAATGATTAAGGCTTTGCGAGCCTCTGGTGATTCATAGACTCGTACACAGATTGCGCCAAAGTATGCGCATTGCCTTGGTTCAAAATTGGTTGACTCGCAGCAAGGGCAGGCACAGCTGTGTATATGCTATGTGGTGACACGTTGTGCAAACCTGACGCAAGCTAAAGCGTCTTAGGGGACATCCAACCTTGCTATGACGAATCATGCTCGTTTCACGATCATGGTCACTGCTTCCGCTCTGATAGCCAAGCATGCAGTATTTCGGCTGCATTTACTCACACATGCAATGGAGGCAGCCTTGGAACAGATACAATCAAGATGCTCAGTCTTGAAGTCTTAGATGTCGCACAGAGATATTTCATGGACAACTGAGTCCACAACAAGGGGTTTCTCATGGTTTCTCACGGAATCTGAGTGAGAACGCTGACATTGCCATGAAACGCTTCGTGAGGCTGGTTTCTGTGGGAAGCCCTACAACCCAAACGCAGCGCCTCAAGACACTGATGCATGAGTGAAACTCGACAAGCACTACGGCCTAGTACCAGCTATATGTTTGGCACATTGTGTCTGGTAGTGTAGTACTTTCTGAAATGTTGTTTCTGTGTCATTTGCTCGAGCCAATTACCCTCACGAGCTGCCATTGTCGTACAGTCACACAGCGAAACGATGAACGGCGCGCAAGACAACTTAGTAGCATGAGACTGCCAACGGCTGCGGAAGTGAGATGGAGGCTTTTTGCTTTGGCGTGCACCGTGTGAACAAGCAAGAAGCCTTGAAATCATATCATGCAGCCGCCATAGCTGCTTTCATCCAGAACAGCAGGAAAGCCCCGCATTCGGCATCGAGCTGAGACGAACGTGAGGACTCACAGGTCTGGGTGATCGCTCTTGGTGAAAGCTGACAACTTGCGCTGCGATGCCAGATGAAGCTGTCGCGCCAGCTGGGCAAAGTCGACCCAGCACTGATTGTGCAGAAGCGCCTGCCCTGGCAGGCCAGAGATGCCATAGGGGCCGTGTGTTTTGTGGAACTGGTCTTCAGATGCTTCTCACATGTTACAGGTTCGAAAGCATCAGTTGCGGCAGAGGTTCTGGACCAAAATCCACATGGCCAAAGTTGCCAGTGGATGCCAGTGGGCTTTGCCTGAGCTAGACAAACGCTCAGGTTCTGGGATGATGAGGCCGGCAATGTTGCAGCGTTGCATGGAGCATCACTGAAGTGATACTTGACTGGGACACCCTCCAAGAGCTTCGGACCTTAGGAATTTGAATTGGCTTCTGAGGTGGAGAAGCCGCAGACGAAAACTCCTGCCATCGTAGCCACCCGGCTTCCAACTGGACTTTGGAAGATACTGGAACATTCTTGGTCCATGAGAAGCAGCCACTTTTGATTATCTTCACTCATCAAGACGAGGCTCCGTAATCCTGTGACGTGTCCATTTGCTGCACCACGTCTCTTCTCTGCGTTCCCCGCTTGTCTCATTGTCTCTCTTCTTGCCTCGCGCGCATCTGGCCGTGTGATGCTCGTTGCCCTCCGCCCTTAATGAAAGTGCTGCACAACAGACATTGAGAGTTCTGCGGTGTTTTGTGGGCATCCGCCTCTGATCCCTCCTGCTCGCATCTTGCTCGCATCCTGCACATCCTGCGCCCCAAGACTTCCTCAGTCACAAAACAGTGGTGGAGGCTACTTGCGTAGTCGACATTCCAGATAACGTTTGAGCCTATATTGCCGCAACTGGCCAGGAAGTATTGGTCAGACGAACATGACATGCATCTCTAACGAAGATATTCGCCTTGCACCACTTGTAATTGTGATCCGTGTGCTCATCCAGGCCACCGCGCCGACTGCAAACATCACCAACTTTCAGAGCATGCCCGCCACTCTCATACACGGCACTTTCCGCGATGCCGCAACATCAGCATACTCCCTGTCAACTCCAAGTGGAAGACCGCCATCTTCCGTGCTGGCAATGGGCTGCAAGGCGCTGCAAGCTTTGTGCTGTCCTGCTGAGCTCGCACTGGGCTGCAGGCTGCTCCCGCAGATCGACGAATTCAATTTGTCGAATCGTCGCGCGAAATTACAGGTCACTCGCGACGCAAGTCTGGGGAAAGGCGTTGGCGAGTGTTCGGCCCGGAGCCCGGACAAGTTCGGTGTGCACCGGCCGCATCGGGCCGTAGGCTGAGGATTCCTCTCGAGGTTGCCCGCTGTTCCACTTCTCGTCCACTGTGACGCGGCTGATGACGGAGATCATGATGCTCGCAGGCCTCGGAGGAAACCAGGCAAAGCTCAACATGGCCGTCCGAACGTATAGCAGGTTTGTGTTGGCCTGCCTCTACAGTTTCGGACGCAAAATGACTATGGATGTTGTTGGTTCCGTAGGGAGAAAGGCGCATAAGGCGCTCTCCAGTATGGCCAAAGCGGGGTCCCTGAAAGTCTCGGCGTTTGGTTTGTTGGACAGCCAGCACTCCATAATGGAGGCGTCGTCTTCTCTGAATGTTCTTGCGCGACAGTTCGGAATAGGGTTTGAAAGGCGGGGTCGGTTTCGGCAGGATTTTCCCGAAAATGTTTTTCTTTTTTCATTTCCAGGGGTACGTTTAATACAAGGGGGAAGTGATTATGCAACAGCGGCCACAAAACCGAAACGTAGGTTTCGGCAACTACAGCCGCCGCGCGACACTTGTGGACGCATCGCGGCCAATGCCAACACGTAGGCTTCCGCAAGTTACGATGGGCAATTCAAGTACATTGCTGTGCCTCACGACAATTATACAATCAAGACATGTAAGAGTCATGGCAGTTGCAGACATGCTTACGCTAGTTCTGATTTCGAGGGCTGGCACTTCAGATTGAAAAGCCGGAACCGGTGGCTGCCATTGTTTTAGATGAGCTTGATGACAATTTGTTTCCTTTGATGGTTTAGTTTCAAGTTGGTTTGTAGACAGAACAGAACAGATGTCAATGGTTTTCGCGGCAGTGGTTGCCGCATGTCAGAAGGGCGAAAAAGCAAAAGCCGTTTCAAATACCTAGGTGTATGAAAAAAATCATGGGAGGAGAAGCATTCCGCAACTCCAATGCCTCCAAGCGGCATTGCGGCATGGCTCGTTCTTTTTTGCGTGCGGATCCCCGTGCAAATCACTTCACCCGCGCCCGTGCCCTGGGGCGTACGTTCGCGACCACAATGAGGCTGTCGCCCGGTACCTTGCGCAAGACGCCCCCCCTTGTCTCCGAACGGCTCTGCCTGGCGCGCTCGTCGCCCGCTACGTGTGCGTGGCCGACATGTACAGTGACGTGTCCGTCGCAGATAGCCGCCACAGTGCCGCCACGCTCCCGCTCCACGTAGGCTCTCCTGCGCTGTGCAAGGCCGCCTCAGTTGGGCTAACATGGCTAACTTTTTCCAGGCAATTCGCGGTGAGGGAGGGGAGGGGCAATCTCGTACGTTGCCAGCACGCGTTGAGGACTTGTCGGCTGCACCTTTGCGCCCTGAGCAGTTGCGCCCGTGCCGCTGGTCCGCCTCCTCTCGTACCATGTGTTGCGCTTATATGCGCGTATATATGCCCTCAAGTCAAAAACGATCTGCGAGCAGTGCTGTGTTAATACGTCCTGCGTGTGTTCGTTCCCGACAGCGGATACGAAATGGGGTCGGTATACCTGTCGATATCCTATCAAAAGCAAAGGTGTGCTGATGCATGAAAAGAACACGTGACAAGACATTTGCACAGTTCCTGACATCATCATGGCGGCATTGAGCAAAGTTGGTGGCCAGGAAAAGTTCCGGCAGAGCTCTGGAGTCCAGCTTAGAGCCGGACATTAGGACAAAACTTGACGTTTTGTTTTATAGGCTTGGGTCCTTTGGTCACCTGCCGATACAGTGCTACATGCTTGAGCGTGTGTTCTGATGGGAGCTGCGTGCAGTGTAGTGTGACGAGATGAACGTGTGTGGCAGCGCGACCGTTTCCCGTAGTTTCCCTGATGCATGTTTCCGCGGCGCGTGCACTAGCATCGTTCGGCGTTCTGGTACACGCACCTGCGACGGGGGACGTCTTTCGACGGTTGGTTTCCAGATGTTTCCAGCATACTGGCCAAGGGCTGGGCCGACGTTTCGAACACGCCACGCATCGCCACGCGCTTCCTGTCCAAGCTGCGGGAAGTAGCACCGGAGTTGCTTCCACTCGTCAGGTTGTTCTTCAGAAGCCCATCCACGCACTGATACGTACGGCTGGTGGCATTCGGAGGAACACGGTTGGGACAGTGGCCTGGCTCACGGCTCACGGCTCACGGCTGTTCCCGGCGACCTCGTTTTCCCCGCAATCCAGGCAGTTGGCGTTGCGAAGTCGACTACGGTCACCCGTGCCGCTCAGCTCGAACAGATGTGGTCCAAACCCTGGCTGCGTTGAACCGCCTTCGCTTGCCCGAGGAGGTTTGCTGGCACGGCGAGCCAAAGGGTCGAAATGGCTTGGCCCCGGTCATCGAAAAGGCTTGGTCAGGAGGCCCGAAGGCCAAGCGCCGCCTTGATCTCGTTGCACGGTGCCATGCACGATCGCAGCCTATGTTACCGACGCGACATTAGTGTCCCCTCTCACACGCAGGCCATCCGCAGCCATGTGATGCCACGTGGCGAGGAAGTGGACAGGGCCATGCTGCGGGTCGCTGCGAGTTGACCATGCTGCAGCAGATATTGCGGGAAAGGTGTGAGAGGCCGATGGGCTGGGTCAGTGAGGTCTTGAACGGTTAATTAAGGAGTAATTAAGGTACGTCATTTGCGGGGAGCTGCGACGAGTGCTTGCCTAGCAGAGCTCAATTTTTTTCCGGCTATGCAGAAGTCGTGCGGTATGTCGTGCGCTCAATTCGTTGCAGCGCGCGCTCGGTCCACGGCGTCAGTTGGAGTTCGAATTATTCGTACTTGCAAATCGATATTATCATGATCATGAATGCGGTTTCACCGCTGATTGTGTTTCACGGTGGTTCAAGGACATTTCTCTGCATGCGGGGGCCGGTAAGCATGCGAGAGGCCGGTAATTTGAGAGAACGTGCTT